GGTCGCTGTCCCCTCTGGGGCCACCTTTTAAAGATCTACATAGAAATGGATAAATCCTTGCCACAGAAGGTCCAATTATGACAGAGAGTTACACATGTGAGACTGTGCAGAGGAAGACTAAAGATGTTCTGCTTGCATGGGCAAGACACCCATCATGGGAGAGACAAGGAATCAGAGAAGGGTGGGAATTAGACCAGGTGTATGCAGTAGCTTCTAATCGTGCTATCATGTTGTAATCACATGGAGAGCCTATAACTACCACAAATGGCTGGTTTCCGTTCCTAGCAATCTCAGTTTGAAGTGGCTTCAGGTGGGTTTGGAGCATTAGTAGTTTTCAAAGTACCCAGGGGCTTCTAGCCTTTGGCTAGAGATGACAAGGAATGTGAATGTGCTCAGGTCACCAGTCTAGAAGTATCCCAAGCGTGAACCTTCTTCATAGAAGAGTCCTAACAAGAGATATTGATAGAATTCTTCCTCTTTCAATGATCATAAGGAATGAGAAATGAGCATTTTTTCACTTTTCATTAAAGAATTTTTGGTTATTTCCTGAAGAGATCCCTGGAATGCCCTAAGGAGAAACAACTTTGCAGAATGTTGCTTTCCCCTGGGCACAGGGCATCAGCCCAGATCTATGCCTTGCTCTTTAGTTGGCAGTTTCCACTTTCTGCTTCTGCTCACTTCTTTCCCCCACCTGGCCTTCTATGTGTACAAGAACATTGACAAGACTCACCGGGCAAAGCGTGTTCCTGTCCCAGCCAAAGTCATGCTCACCCTGTAGAACTTGTCCAGCTTCCTCCAGGTGGAAGCCCTCCCTCCGACTTCCCTGACAATCTGAGACATAGCAGAAAACATGTTGGTATCCAGCTCAGGCTTTTGACCTCTAGGTCATGTGGGGTTAGTCCTTAGCCCCTTGTCACCATGATCTTCTCACAGTCTTGTTATTGTCCAAGGACCCTGGTGGCTCTCATACTGTAGGGCTCTCCCTGTGGCCCCACCCTCCTATGAGATGGATTTAGGAGAATTTTCCTGCAAATGTCTTCTCTTTGCTGTAACAAGTCTGTGAAAGTGCATGTTTGAGATATGACTCTCATCCCGGGACCTGGCAAAGACCTTTATTTTCCCCAGGGGCAGCACGGAGGTTAAACTGAGGCTGAGGAGGAGCTGGTGAGGGTCTGGCTAACTCACCTACAGCAGAAGCTGGGAGCAAGGCTGTTGGATTTTTTTTCTAAAGATGAACTTTTCCTGTCCACTGACTTGTCTTTGTATTTTTTTTTTTTTTTGACAGGCAGAGTGGACAGTGAGAGAGAGAGACAGAGAGAAAGGTCTTCCTTTGCCGTTGGTTCACCCTCCAATAGCCGCCGCGGCCGGCGCGCTGCGGCCGACGCACCGCGCTGATCCGATGGCAGGAGCCAGGAGCCAGGTGCTTTTCCTGGTCTCCCATGGGGTGCAGGGCCCAAGCACCTGGGCCATCCTCCACTGCACTCCCTGGCCACAGCAGAGAGCTGGCCTGGAAGAGGGGCAACCAGGACAGAATCCGGCGCCCCAACCGGGACTAGAACCCGGTGTGCCGGCGCCGCTAGGCTGAGGATTAGCCTAGTGAGCCGCGGCGCCGGCTACTGACTTGTCTTTGGCAATTCAACATAAAGCTGGACATCTCTGAAACACAGGAAGCCCCAGGCTTCCAGACCTCTAGGCTAGCAGGCTGATTCAGGTAAGCACCAGGAAGACACTTCCCCCACACCCTGGTGTGGGAAGGGCCTTGGATGAGAGAAAATGAGGCAGAGAGAAAATGAGAGGCATAGAGAGAGGACCCCTATCCAATAATTCACTCCTTAAATGTGCACAACACCTGGGGCTGGGTCAGGCCAAAACCTGGCTCAACCCAGTCTCCCCATGGATAGGAGAGGCCCACGTGCTTGCGTTCACCTCCCCTTCAGCAGATGGCAGCTGAGGTCTCTCTGGGTCCCTTTAGCTGTACCAGGACTGCCTGGAGCCACCCAAACTCCCGCAGCTCCACATATGCCTGGAACTGCCTTCCTGGCTTTTTCCTCTCTGAGATTTCCTCCAGCCCCCTTGACTTCCCAGCTGCTGTGGTGGCCTCGACCTTGTCCAGCAACTCAAAATTAGCTCTCAGCCACATCTGTGAAGCTGGAACAGCGGCTCCATTCTTCCAGGAGGCTGCCTGCAGTGCCCAGAAACTTGAGATCATTTTTTAAGAAAGATTTTCCAGGCCGCGCCGTGGCTCTATAGGCTAATCCTCCGCCTACCAGGGCTGGCACATCAGGTTCTTTCTAGTCCTGGCTGGGGCTCTGGATTCTGTCCCAGTTGCCCTTTTTCCAGGCCAGCTCTCATCTCAGCATTGTAATTCATTTCATCCATGCCCTTCCTTTGATCAAGTGATTGGTCCATGCTGAATTTGTTTCCTCTTTACTAAAATGGATCAGTTGGAATTCCTTGCTTGTGAGTTGTTTCCTTTCAGTGTTCAGGTTATGCACCAGATAAAGCAGATGCTGGTGTTGGGAAAGTGGATTTCTCTGGCATCACTCTGTAGAGAGAGACTCCCTCCGGGAACATTTGAGCGCACCAGAGGCCCAGGCCTGATGGTGCCTGGGCTGCACTCTGGGTGGGATGGAGGTGGACAGGGTTGCCTGTCCTCTCCCACCACACTGCAGTGGGGTCTGCAGGAGGAGCATTAGTGGGAATCAAACCACGCTCTGGTGGGCAGCTTTGGGGTGGAAATGAAGGTTCCAGCTGGAGAAATCCTGAAGGCAACTATGCAAGGGGCCTGTGAGCTGGAGAAGACACTATAGACATCCTGCATCTACATCGGGAACACCCTGTGCAGGGGATAGGAAATCCTTCCAAGGCTCTGCTATCCAGGTGAACCCAGAGGCCTCCTGGAGCAATTCTCCCAGAGCTTTCTGAGTATACACGCAGAAGGTTCAGTCTCTGCTCATAGAGTCCCATGTCTGTGATGTCTGAATGGGCCTGTTTAGTTTCTGACTCACTTTCTATTCTCACTTTGCAGAGAATCACAATGAAAAGAGACAGACAAGAGACTCTGGCCCACAGGTAACTCTGAATGCTGAGGGGCTGGTGATGGAGCTAGGAAAACTAGAGAGGATTCCAAAAGCAAGGGATCCAAAGAGAGCTCAACATTAACACCTTGAGCAACAACACCAAAGCCAACCCAGAGACTGCAGATGGGACCTCTTTGTTCATGGATATATAAGGATGTGTCCTAACTCTATTGGAAACCTGCTCTACTGGGAGCTCATACATTGTTTCCATTTATTAGTAATGTCTCAAGTTCACTTTTAGTCAGTCTGACCTAAAGGGAAACAAAGCAGTGGCCCTTGATTTCTGTGTGAGTTTTCATCCTTCATGACTGAATCCCAAATTCTGATGCATGATTCATTTCTGCAGTTTTCCTGAGATTTGTTGGCAGATGTTTCATTTCCAGAAAGTTACCTTGAAAAAGAAACTCAAATGGCATCAAATATCTGGAGAAATCTCAAAGGTAGAAGAGCCCAGGGAGGTTTTGTGGTCTCAGGAACCAGTATTCAAAGAGTCACTTCATGTAATATAAAATACAATGCTTTATTTACACATCTTCTGTTCACTGTTTTGGATCTCTAACTGGATTTAGGGCAGTTCCTGAGTCTGCTTCTTCACACTGAGCTATGTGTCAGTGCACTGAGCACCTGCCGCAGTCTCTACCCCAGCTCTAAGCACACCCTGCCCTTTTAACCAAGTATTAGAAAGACAGAATGGGAGCTTCTTTTCTCTGCTGCAGGCTCAAATATCAAGAACTTCCAGAAGGCACAGGATGATAGGCAATTGAAGATACTCACCCACAAACAGGGAATGGATCCCTGTAGGTACCAGTGAAGTGAAGTTCATAATATCAAAACTAGAAACTCACAGTGAGACCGCCGGTGGGAAAATACCATGCAGGGGTTAACAGAGAGATGGAGGTGTGGGAGGGAGGGTGGTGGAGGGAGAGAGAGAGAGAGAGAGAGAGAGAGAGAGAGAGAGAGCCTATAAAGTCAGACTCAACCTCTGCTCCTGAGATTCAGCAGAAACCTGAGCCCATGTGAGCCACCAGCTCAACAGGGGAAGATTCTCTCATCTCCGCAGACAGGTGCAGATGGCCTAATTGCTAGGGGCACCGCTCCTGCACTATCTGTCACAGAGTAATAGGGGCGGTGATCTGCACCCCTCAACTACAGGGTTTACATCCCACCAGCCATTCTCTGAGAACCCCGTTGGGGACGCGAGGAGCCCGTGAGGGTAACAGAGTGAGGGCATTTCACTGACTTATTATCAAACGGGGTAAAAGTGCTGACGGCGGTCCTTGGGTGGGCTCGAAACACCAAGCTTTCAGTTAACAGCCGAACGTGCTAACCCACTGCGCCACAGAGACACAGCTTCTGCCCGCACAGGGCGACGCTGCGAGCTCCAGAGCCCCGGGCACCGCGGACCGGCGAGCAGGAGGCACACTGTTCGCCGCGAGGGTTACCTGTGCGTTGGGAGTCGGGTGGCCGCGGGAAGCCGCGTGGCATTCGCCCGCCCGCCGCAGGAGCCCGCTCCCCGCAGACGCCCGGGTCCGAGTCCCACCGGAGAGAGTGGGCCGGAGGCCGCGGAGCGCCCGCGTCGGCGCCGCCTCCACTCAGGGAAAACCCTGCCCCCGCCGCCCCTGCCGCCCGCGGGCATCGCATCGCGTATCCAGCTCCGGGCTCCCCAGGGACAGGGTCGCGGTGATGGCCGCTCTCGGGTCCCTTCGCAGAGAACAGGGTTTGGCCGTCACGGGCTCTCCGTGGGGACCCGAGGACTCCAGGCCGAGTCTGCCTGTCCCTCAACCCCTCAGCTGCTAGGCCACCAGACCCCTTTGCACAGACCTGTGTGCTGCGGAGGGGATGGTGCCCATTGGGGATGAGCAGAAGAACACACGGGTTCCTGAGAGTCCACGACCCCCCACCTTCTAGTTCTGCTATTGTGACTTCAGACCGTTCCCTGGCAGCCTGGGGCCTCGGGCCACACTCTTTTGGCAGCGTCTGTGTATGGGCAGTGCCTTCAGCTCAGACCTCTGGCATCTTGGCCCTCACATTTGTCTCTAAGGAGTCTGAGAGTTGTGGCTGCTGACAAAGTTCCTCCCAAAAGTAAGTTAGAGTGAGATCTGCATTCCTGACTCTCTTTACACCCCCTCTTTGATGTGAAGAAGAGTTACAGAGATACTAATTGTATCTGGTATCACTCACACCTTAGAGCTGAACAACTTGGTGAGTGTAGGAGCTTACCAGGCAAGACCACCGTCAGCAGATTGCACTCCCGTGTGTGTACTAAGCAAGACGACTGTCAGCACAGTGCACTCACGTGTGTGTAACTAAGCAAGACCACAGTCAGCACAGTGCACTCATGTGTGTGTAACTAAGCAAGACCACTGTCAGCACAGTGCACTCACGTGTGTGTAGCTCATTATTTGTGTGGCTTTCTCCTGTCCAGGCTCTGGCTCTGCTCTGACACAGCTACATCATGGCAGTACCTCCCAGCACTGTTCCTGGCACAATGGCTAACAGCAGTGCCCTGGACACCTACTACGACCTGCGGGCCAAGCTGGAGAGGAGCCAGCAGAACGTCCAAGACATGAGAGAGAAATTCCTCACTGCCAGAGCTACTGTTTACTTCCTGGCCAACCGCCTGCAGAGGCATGGTAGGTCTGCAGAGCCGCGGGCCCAGACTGAGAAGTGGGGGTTCCCTTCCTCAGAGAAATGGACACTCTCTACTTTATCTTCCCTGTTCTTCATCAAAGTAAACTCCTGACTGTACTCTGGGTCGGTAGGTGCCTGTATTTCATCCTCAGCTTGCCGCAGTGGAGAAAACAGAGGCACAAAGATGAAAGTTTGCAGGGACAAGGTAGGGAGGAGGAGACTAAAACCCCAGGTGAGGCAGTAACTGCTTCTTCTGGCTCAGGGACCTGTGTCAGCTCCTAGGAACCAGGGCAGCGCTGTGCGCTCCACTGTCTCAGCATTCAGTTCAAACACTTACTAAGCACCCATCTACAGGTAGCTTCACTTGGCCTGAAAGGGGTAATGATACCCGCCTGCCTTCAAGGAGCTCGGGACTGTCTGTTCCCAGGCATCTGGCACTGAGAGCAGCCCTGGCAGGCACAGAGGGAAGCCCTAATGCCTGCAAAAGTTTCTTTTCCCCAGAAGTGCAGAGAAGCCATTGCTCATTCTCTGCTTACGAGAAGGCCATGTCCAGGAGACTCTGAGACCTATGCCACCCTTTCTGCTCACCCTGCACAGGAACTTTGCAGATAGCCAGCAAGGGCAGGTGGCCCTCCAGGATGTGGCCCCCAGACATGAGCATGAGGAGAACAAGGCCAAGTGCAGAAGACTGCAGGTCTCAATCGCAAGCCAGGCCAGTGTAGGTGCTGGCTCCCCGTCTCCATAGCCAGCTTTACCATTCGGAAATCCACTGGAAAATCTTAAAGCTGCTAATAATAGAGAGAAGAGGGGGAGGCTGTAATTCCTGTCGTGTACACGGGAACAAGAGCTTGCGAGGGCAGGGATGCTACAGGAGGGCACCTGCTACACTGCAGTTGTTTGCTTTCAAATTTCAACCATGATTTTTCAGTTGATCAGTGTGAGTATGGGAGGGCTTCAAACCTGTGATGCTGTTTATTGTCATACACAGTGAACAGTGAAAATTACAGCTTCCCTGACAATGAAATGCAAAATGATCTTTAAGACATCGCATTATCAAAAGTGTACTACAATTAAAGGTGGATATCTCAGGGTTTAGGCTGTCACTTGGGACACCCACATCCCCTGTTGGAATGTCTGATTTCAGTACTGGCTCCTCAGGACAGGTGTCATGCCCAGTGGGCTGTAGTGCAGCTTGGGATGGCTGCATCCCATGTGGGAGCGCATGGGATATAGTCTTGCCTTTGCTTTCTGATCCAGCTTTTTGCTAATGAGCCTGGGAGACAAAAGATGATGGCTCAAGTAAGTGAATAGCTGACACCCTCATGGAAGACCCAGATGGAGCTTCAGTGTTCAACCTGTGCCCAGACCTGGCTGTTGTTGGTGTTTGGGATCTGACTCAAAGTACAGCAGATCTCTCTTTAAAAATAAAACAGGGGCCAACACTGTGGCATAGCAGGTAAAGCCACTGCCTGGGGGGCTGGCGCTATGGCTCACTTGCTTAATCCTCTGCCTGTGGCACCAGCATCCCATGTGGACACCAGGTTCTAGACCCAGTTGCACCTCCTCCAGTCCAGCTCTCAGCTGTGGCCCGGGAAGGCAGTGGAGGATGGCCCTAGTGCTTGGGCCCCTGCACCTGCGTGGGACACTAGGAGGAAGCACCTGGCTCCTGGCTTTGGATTGGCACAGATTTGGGGGGTGAACCAACGGAAGGAAGACCTTTCTCTCTATCTCTCTCACTGTCTCACTGTCTCACTCTATCTGTCAAATTAAAAGAAAAAAAAAGCCACTGCCTGCGGTGCTGGCATCTCATATGGGTGCTGGTTTGAGTCCTGGCTGCTCCACTTCTGATCCAGCTCTCTGCCTGGCCTGGGAAAGCAATAGAAGAAGGCTCAAGTCCTTGGGCCCCTGCACCCATGTGGGAGACCCAGAAGAAGCTCTAAGCTCCACACAAAGAGAGAGAATTTTCATTCCTTGATTCCCTGCCCAAGTGGCTAAAACTGACAGGGCTGGACAGGCCAAAGTGAGGAACCCAGCATCCATGTCTCCACTTTGGTGGCTGGGTTCCAAGTACATGAGGTATCTTCCATTGCCATCCCAGGAGCGCACTAGTAGGAGCTGGATCAGAAGTGGGGCAGCCACGCCTTGAATCAGCGCTCCCATATGGGCTGCAGCTCCCACGAAAGTTTTTTAAATCTTCAAACTATTCAGGGATTACTGAAACTCCACACAGGAGAACCATCAGTCCTACAGTCCTTGGTGTCCTCCCAAACAAGGAAATCACTGCTGCAATTCCCAGGTCAACGTTTCATTGAAGAAGCCCCAGGGCTTGCTGCTTGCAGTGGCCCATGACTTAGATGAGGCCTAGGAGATGTGAACCCTGGCATTGCCTCATTCAAACCCGGTCCTCTTGTCACGTTGCTCTACCTTCCATGAACTTCTCGTTCCTCATCTCTAAACTGGGGAACACTCAGGAGTCCAAGGAGTACAGGAGTGACAATCCCTGCACATAGCCTGGTCCCTGGGTTTCCTGTGTGGAGGAGGGGACTGTGCGTCCTCCCCAAAGACAGTGACCTCGGCTGCATGGCCACCTGTCCGCTGAGGAGGGCGCGACTCTGTTTCCTCAGGGTGTGAGGAGTACAAAGACCTCATTGCATCGGTGCTGGAGGAGAAGCCTGACTTTGAGGAGATGCAATCAGCTGCGAGGCTGGGGTAAGGAGCAAGTCTGTGCAAGGAGAAGTGGAAATATCCATGACTATCAGTGGGGTTGTGGGGTTGGGGTGAGGTAGGGCGTGGGGTTCTCCATGAAGTAACATATGGGTAAAACGGATCAAATGCCTGGGTAGGACACTACAGTGCATGTCCAGCTGTGTGTCCCTGACCCATTTTCTTAACTTTCCTGGGCTGGCTCACCTGTAAGAGGAAAGTGCTGACAGCATCTCCTGCAGAGGTTCACGAGGTCACACTCACCAGTAAAGTGGTTGGCACCATCTCTGACACACATGGAATCTCAGTGATCTGCTGTACTTGCTAGACTTGCTCTTTCTTATAGACATGGTGACTGTAACTAATGGCATTTTCTAGAAAGATTTATTTGTGTATTTGAAAGTCAGAGCTACACAAAGAAAGGGAGAGACAGATGTTAGGGTGGGAGAGATCTTCCATCTGCTGGTTCACTCCCCGGATGACCTCAAGTGCTGGGGCAGGGAATGGCCAGAGCTAGGGGCCAGGATCCTCTTCCTGTTCTCCCACATTGGTTGCAGGGGCCCAATCACTTGGGCCAGACTTTGCTGCTTTTCCCAGGCTGTCATCTGGGAACTGGATTGGAAGAGGAGCAACTGGGGGTCGAACCTGTACCCATACTGGATACTGGTGTCCTGTCAGTTTAACATTTACACCATGGCACGGGCCCCATTAATGAGCTTTCCTACAACAGATATTTTCCAGCTTTTACAGATATTCTTTCATTTTAAAACTATTTCCTCTCTACCAATTTTTTAAGCACTATAGGGCTATTTAGTAAGTGCATAATTGTGCAGCTATTGCCTGGAAAATGAATTATTACTTTTCTCAAGGCCAGCATTTCCCTTCCTAGAGAGTTTCTAACATAGGGTAGATTGTGGCATTCAAACTGTCTTTGAGCACTTTGCTGAAGTGATCCTATACAGTCATGTGTGTAAAACCCATGCAAACAGAGATAGGACTTGGAAGGGGGTACAGGCCTGAAGCCCCTGTTTGATTCTCCTGTAGGCCTTGACTTGCCCCACACTTTGTAGCGTTTCTAGGGATTAGAGATTGACAATGTTAGAACAACCACTTGGCTGACAGAAAGAGAACATTCAGGCATCTGATAGGGTGGGTGACTCTAGAGGCTTGGTCCAGCTTCAGGATTCTGTGGTTCTCAGCATTAACTGGATGCCCCATGTGTACCTCTACTGAGTGCTGTAAGCTGAATAACACATGGCCATGTCTGTCCAACAGAGCTCACATCCTATACTGGGGCAATAGAAATGCTTCAGGCTTTAAAAAACAAGGAAATCTCACAGAGATGACACAATCGTCATCTGAAGCTCGTGTACTATCTTTGCATTCCTACTGGTTATCCTCATCTTCATGACATTCTTTATTTATTCATTTATTTTTTGGTCAGGCAGAGTTAGTGAAAGAGAGAGACAGAGAGAAAGGTCTTCTTTCTGTCTTCTTTCTGATGGTTCACTCCCCAAATGGCTGCTACAGCCGGCGCTACACTGATCCGAAGCCAGGAGCCAGGTGTTTCCTCCTGGTCGCCCATGTGGGTGCACGGCCCAAGCACTTGGGACAACCTCCATAGCCTTCCTGGGTTACAGCAGAGACCTGGACTGGAAGAGGAGCAAGCAGGACAGAAACGGCACCCCAACCAGGACTAGAATCCGGGGTGCTGGCACCGCAGGCAGAAGATTACCCTAGTGAGCCTCAGCGCCAGCCTATCTCCATGTCATTCTAATGAATGTTGCCTTCATGGCCTTTATGGGACTTCCCACATCTCAATGCCAGCAGGCGAGCTTGCTCAACACAGATGTTCCTTGCCCTATTGGCATACTGCTTGCTGTTCACTACATGGATGTGGGCTGAGGTGAGGGACTGAAAGGGCATCTTAATCATAGCAAAAACAAACAAGCACAGGGCATCTGTGCACATTCCCCCTGCCAAGGCAAGCCTCACAACATACACCAGCATGCACCGTGGGCACTGCCCTTTGGCAATTCTAGTAGATGGCTCTGCCGAGGCTCCTGTGAGCTGTCATTCAATCTTACATTTCTGTCTTCTTCCCTACCTTAGGAGACAAGACTCCCTAGTTCAGGCTCGGGCCAGAGAACTCACCCACTTACGGCACAAGATACAGGAAGGGAGAGAGGTCTGCTCCCTCTCTGCCCAGCACCTGAAGGACACGGGCCAGGCTTTTGAGGGCCTCCTCAGGAGCACGGACGTTGCCCGCCACCACAGACAGAGATTCTGTGAACAGTTGGCCCAAGGAAGCCAGCTGGCAGAGAGCCTTGCCAGAAAGCTCACGGCGGGTAAGTGGCTGCAGCTCCAAAGGCCCTTCCTCCTCCAGAGTGCCTCACAGGAGGGAGAACCATGCCCTTACCGCCCCAGCTCATTCTTTTGCTCTTGTCTGTGGCACTTCATTCACATGTGTTGTGGACTTTTCAGAGCACTCAGGTAATTCATTTGAGTTATTTTTTCTGGGGTTCCATCTACAGTCACTAAGAAAGAGTACAGAAGACTGACTTCATCTTGATGAGCATGGCAGGAAATAAACCTCTTTTTTTTTTTTTTTTTTTAATTTTCAAAGTCAGAGTTACAGAGAGAGAGGGAAAGGGGGAGAGATCTTCCATCTGCTGGCTCACTTCCCAGGAGGCTGCTGAAGCATGAGCCAGGAGTTTCATCCAGGTCTCCCATGTGGGTGGCAAGAGCCCAGGCCATGAGCAGGAGCTTGATCAGAAGTGGAGCAGCCAGGAATGCAACCAGTGGCTCTATGGGATGCCAGCACTGCAGGCACTGGCTTAGCCCTCTACACCCCAAGGCTGGCTGCCAGATTTCATTTGTGAAATGGCTTTTCACTGGATGTATGATTCTAGATTAAAAGTTTTGTTTTGCTTTTTTTCTCCAAAGATTTACTTATTTATTTGAAGGCAGTGTTACAGAGAGGTAGAGAGAGTGAGGTCTTCCATCTGCTGGTTCACTCCCCAAATGTCTACAACAGCCAGCGCTGTGCCGATCTGAAGCCAAGACCCAAGAACTTCTTCTGGGGCTCCCATATGGGTGCAGGGTCCCAAGGGCATGGGTGGGCTTCCATTGCTTTCTAAGGCCATAGCAGAGAGCTGGATTGGAAGTCGAACAGCCGGGTCCTGTACTGACCCCATAAGGGATGCCGGTACCACAGGCAGCGGTGGCTTTACCCACTATGCCACAGCGCTGGCCCTGAGACTCAGTATACTTTCAAATCTAATTTTATACATATCTTACTTCCTGTGAGCTGGAAAAGAAGACACTGTAGACATCGTAGACACACATCGGGAACACCCTGTGCAGGGGATAGGAAATCCTTCCAAGGCTCTGATATCCAGGTGAACCCAGAGGCCTCCTGGGGCAATTCTCCCAGAGCTTTCTGAGTATACACGCAGAAGGTTCAGTCTCTGATCATAGAGTCCCATGTCTGTGATGTCTGAATGGGCCTGCTTAGTTTCTGACTCGCTTTCTATTCTCACTTTGCAGAGAATCACAATGATCAGAAATCTGGAGACAGAGAGGAGACCCTGGCCCAAAGGTAACTCTGAATGGTAAAGGGGCTAGTGATGGAGTGAGGAAAACTAGACAGGATTCCAAAAGCAAGGAATCCAAACAGAGGTCAAAGTTAACACCCTGAGCAACAAGCAAAGCCAACCCGGAGACTGCTAATGGGACCTCTTTGTCCATGGATTTTACAAGGATGTGTCCTGTCTCCAATGGTCACCTGCTCTACTGGGAGCTCATACATTGTTTCCATTTATTAGTAACGTGTCAAGTTCACTTTTAGTCAGTCTGACCTAAAGGGAAACAAAATAGTGGCCCTTGGTTTCTGTGTGATTTTAAACCTTCATGACTGAACCCCAAATTCACATGCCTGTCTCTTTCTGCACAGTTTTCCTGAGATTTGTTGGAAGATGTTTCATTCCCAGAAAGTTATCTTGAAAAAAACACAGAAATGACATCAAATATCTGGAGAAATCTAAAACTTGGAAGAAATCAGGGAGGTTTTGCTGTCTTGGGAGCCAATGTTCAATGGGCCATTTCATGTAATATGAAATACAATGCTTTATTTACACATCTCTGTTCACTGTTTTGGGTCTCTAACTGGATTTAGGGCAGTTCCTGAGTCTGCTTCTTCACACTGAGCTATGGGTCAGTGCACTGAGCACCTGCCGCTGTCTCTACCCCAGCTCTAAGCACACCCCGCCCCATCAGAAGTGGATGCTACATTTCCTCTTGATGCGATGGCCTCTCTGGTGTTCGTGCCACTTCCATGAGCTTCAGATCAGGACCTGTAATGAGCTTTGCTTCCAGGTTGCCTCAGTGACCTCTCTTATCTTGCCTCTCCACCAGGCCCCACAGAGAGCACCAGGGGGAGGGAGGGAGTGTGGAACCTGAGGACGCAGTGGATGAACGGTATCTGACTCCTTCTGGCCAGCGCAACTGTGATCAGCCTTCCAGTAGAGACACCGTCCTGTCTGAGGCACAAGAAGCCACCTCTGCTGAGGACGCAGGCCGTGAGTCCTCCTCTTGTAAATAAAGTACAGCTCAAAACCTTCCAGTAGCTTCTTCCTTCTGCATGCTCACCACTTCTGTCTGAACTGAGCTGTAGCATCTGTGTAGACAGGCCTAGAAGCTTCTCCTTGAAAAGGCATATAGGCTGAAAACAGCGCTGGGCTCAGGTGTCAAGTGCAGTCCTGGGTGGGTCAGATGATTTTCAGTGTTCCTGGTTGACATCTCACCTGAGTCACCCTGCCACCACTGGCATAGAGCATCTGATGCACGCACAGCGGCCCATATAGGAGAGTGAAGGGAGCACGGGAAAGTTTCAGCCAACTCCACAGTCCATGTACACAACCTGCCTCTATTGGGACAGCTCTTTTCCTGAGATGGTCTTTTTTTTCCCAGAGTTATCTATTAGTTTGAAAGGCAGAGTTACATTCTGGCAGAGAGGGGCAGAGCAAGAGAAAGAGAGAAAAAGTGAGAGAAAGAGAGAGGTCTTCCATCCCCAAATGTCCACAACAGCAGAGCTGATGTGATCTGAAGCCAGGAGCCAGGAGCTTCTTTTGGGTCACATGCATGTGCAGGGTCCATGGACTTGGGCCATCTTCTACTGCTTTTCTAGGCCACAGCAGAGAGCTGCATCGGAAGCGGAGCAGCTGGGACTAGAAACCCTCCCCCCATATGGGATGCCACTACTGCAGGCAGTGGCCTTACCTACTATGGCACAGCACCAGCCCCCCGTGCTTGAAATGGTCTTGATAATTATAGTCTGTGGATGGAATACCTGCATTTTCCAACCATGTAGGAATGCTGCCAGCCTTGCTCAGTTATCAGGCATCCTGTGCCCTTTCCTCCTCCCCAGGTCCGATCAGAGTGACAGTTGAAAGGTGATTTTCCTAAAGGCAGGTCTCTGATGCTGCCAACCCCTGGTAAATGGCCACAATGTCACGCTTTGTGCAGCAACACAAAGTTTCTATTTTTTTTCCCCTGAAACATGAGTGGTTTATTCTCATTGCTGCATTGCCATCCAAACCAAGAGCCGACATGTCTGGTGAAAGAAAGGCCATGAGTAACCATGGTGCCAGCAGCATGCTCCCCTCCCAAAACCCCCAGGGGCCAGAGCAGCTCCTGCATGGACAGAGGAGCCCCCTGGGCAGCAGCATCACTGGTGTGTGTTCAGAACACAGCTTCAGTCTTTGTCTTCTCTCTCTTGATGTCCAGCTTCCCTTTTTTGAATTTTTGTGTATATCCTTTTCTTGGCAGGAGAATGAGACTGTATTAATTCACTCAGGACCCACTGGGCTATTTGCTTAGCAATATAAACCCCGTCAGGCTTGTCTTTCTCCCTCTCCTTCACGTGGCAGGTATAAGTAGGTGCCCTTTATTACTCAGATCATCCTCCTAGGAAGGAATCCCCATTTCCCTTTCACATTTCACCGTGAGCTGCAGAGGAACTGTTCACCATGTGTTGAACTGGTCTGGGCGAGGTATGTAGTAGAGGAAAGTATTTCTAGTTCCTGCAGGTCACACCGAGGAGGTGGCCACAGCTTCCGTGGGAACTGTCTGGCCTTACCTGGAGGCTGTAAGGTCTTTGTCCCTCCTCTTTGCCTCTCCTCCACCTCCCATGCCCTTGGGTGGAGGCTGTCCTGTGAGAGTGCTCAGCGCTTGCCCATTCTTCACTTGAAACCCACCCAGGGACTGGTGTTCCCTGATGAGAGCATGACATAGGCAGAGGGGTAGGGAGAGGCAGGGATCTTGTAAGGCGGCCTCTGGCTGTCCCATAGTGACAAAGATTCTTCCTCCCTTCCCTCATTTCACGTCCTGGTGGACTGCTGCAGAAGATGAGATGCAGAAACTACAGCAGCATCTGAAGGAGACCATGGTGGTCAACGTCAGCCTGCGACAGATGCTGCAGCGTCACCTCAGCACCGTGGACAGAGACAGCGGTAGGGGGACCAGAGGGGCCTGAGTCTGGCAGTGGGTGTGTTTCCACAGGCAGGCCACTGGGCCAGAGCTTCACAGAATCTAAGCACATGTTAGACCTGCTTCACCCACTTCATACAAATGGCCTGGCTAGAGAGTGAGCACCGGTGCTGTAACTCCTATTCTGGAAGCCACCAAATAGGCTTAGGTAGAGACTTGACCACGCTAAACTCTTCCTCCCACTTTTAGCCATCTGACCTCCAACCATGTTCCTGCCTCTGACTCTGTGCACGGTCTGCGTCTGTCGGCTTATGTGAGTGTGGTTCAGTAAAACCCAGGTTTCCGAGCCCCACGTGCAGCAGTCTCCCCCGCTGCCATCCTCATCTGCCTCCTGTGTCTCATTTGCTCCTTGCTCCTACCTAGAGCTCCTCGTGGATCCTAGGGTACTTCTGCCTCAGCCCTCGCCTTCCACTGCTCTCATGCCAAGGCCACCATGCTGCATCATTGGGTTGGGCCCCAAAAGTGTGATCGAATCTCACACACAGCCCAGTCTTCCTCATATTGCAACACCAGGTGTGAGAATGATGTGAATGCTGGAGCCGGAAAGAAGGTGACCATGAAGCTTGTTCCCCATCAGCCTGTCAGTGTAGCCCTCAGGCCCTGCAGTGGAGTTCAGGAAATTAGCAGGAAGCCTTCCCTTAAGCGAATGTGAATGCCTTGCCTGACTGTAATTCTCTCCTGGACAGGATGCACCTCCAACCTTTACTGGCAGGTCCTGGATTCCATTGTTCAGCTGTATGATGAAAACAGGGTCCTCAGGGAAAAATACCAAAGACTCCCTGTGTGCAGGAACCCTGCATGCAGAGGTAAGTGGTGAGGGCACAGCGGGAGGTCTTTGAAAATGTTGCCTTCAATGAGTCTTCTCATGAAAGAAACTACACAGAGAGCTTTTAGGTCTTCTTCTCCCAAAGAGAACCCAACAACAAGGAAAGCAAACCTTTAGGGAATAGCTTCTGGGTTTGCATTTGCCTCCCCCACAATGGATGGAACAAATCAAAACAAAACCCCCAATCCTTTCCTAAGAAGATGGGTTGATGGGAAACATCTAAGGTATGAGAAATGAGCGTTTTTCCACTTTTCTTTTTTTTTTTTAATTTTTTTTGACAGGCAGAGTTAGACAGTAAGAGAGACAAAGATAGAGAGAAAGGTCTTTCTTCCATTGGTTCACCCCCAAAATGGCTGCTACAGCCAGTGCACTGTGCTGATCCGAAGCCAGGAGCCAGGTGCTCCCTCCTGGTCTCCCATGTGGGTGCAGGGCCCAAGCACTTGGACCATCCTCCACTGCCTTCCCTGGCCACAGCAAGAGAGCTGGACTGGAAGAGGAGCAACCGGGACAGAACTGGCGTCCCTACCGGGGCAAGAACCGGGATTGTCGGCACTGCGGCTCACTAGGCTAATCCTCCACCTCATTTTTTTTTAAAGAACTTTTTGGTTAGTTCCTGAAGATATCCCTGGAAACGCCCTGAGGAGAAATTACCTTTGCAGAATGTTGCTTTCCCCTGGGCACAGGGGCACCAGCCAAGAGCTATGCCTTGCTCTTTGCTTGGCAATTTCCCTTTTTCTGCTTCTGCTCACTTCTTTCCCCCAGCCCTGCCTTCTGTCTGTACAAGAACAGTGACAAGACTCACCAGGCAAAGCGTGTTCCTGTCCCAGCCAAAGTCATGCTCACCCTGTAGAACTTGTCCAGCTTCCTCCAGGTGGAAGCCCTCCCTCCACCATCCCCAACATTCTGTGATGTACCAGAAAACATGTTGGTGTCCAGCTCGTGCTTTTGACCTCTAGGTCATGTGGGTTTAGTCCTTAGCCCCTTGTCACCATGATCTTCTCACAGTCTTGTTCTTGTCCAAGGACTCTGGTGGCTCTCATACTGTAGGGCTCTCCCTGTGGCCCCACCCTCCTATGAGATGGATTTAGGAGAATTTTCCTGCAAATGTCTTCTCTATGCTGTAACAAGGCTGTGAATGTGCATGTTTGAGATATGACTCTCATCCCGGGACCTGACAAAGACCTTTATTTATTCTCGAGGGGCAGCACGGAGGGTAAACTGAGGCTGAGGAGGAGCTGGTGGGGGTCTAGCTAACTAACCTGCAACAGCAGCTGGGAGCAGGGCTCTTGGCATCGGGAGGTGCTGGGCCCTGTGTCCCACACCACGGGCAGCTAGCACACTTCAGGAGACTCTGCCTTGCATGTGCTAGCGCCACCGTCTCCTTCCGGCCTGTGGTCCACTCCTGTCACTTCTCCCCTTCCCCTCAGTCGGGCTCCCCCTGGCCTCCATCTCCATCAGCTCCAGCACCAGCCCCAGGCAGTTATCAGCAAGACCACACAGAAGATTGTTCATGAGTTGTTTTTGTTTGTTTGTTTATTTCAGGTAACAACTGAAGCATTAAATGACTTGTTTAATTTCAATACCAAAAGTTAAGTCACCAATAATTCTCCAACTGATGAGAAAATAAAACACCAAAGCAAGTCTAAATCAAAGAAGTCACCATCTCTGAGAACCAAATTACACCGCAGGACCAATGGACCCTTTGCTTGGGGAAATCCCAGCCCTTCCGTCTGCAAATGTGATAGCCCCTGAGACACCAATGCCCAGATCAGGAGAGGATCCTCAAAGGCCCTCATCCTTTTCCCTCCCCACCACAGCCTGGAAAGAGCAAAGATTTGAGTCCAAGAACGGGCAGAAAAAAGTCCCTGCAGATGGTTTACCAGCTCTTTGGCACATGTTCATTTTACTTGAGCGGTAGGGTTTAGAAACCTCAGAAAATAAATTTCATTTTACATACATTTTGTTGCCTATCTTTTTTGTACAAGTTGAAATTAAAACTTTCTTTCTCCAGCTTGAAACAGCAATGTTAATTCTTCTTTTTAAAGGTGTTTTTATTTGGAAGGCACAGTGACATGCACACACACACAGAGAGAGTGAAAGAGAGAAAGAGATAATGATAGAGATAGAGATATAAAGAGAGAGAGAGAGAATCTTCACTCCCCAAATGCCTCCAACAGCCAGGACTGGGCCAGGTGGAAGCTGGTGCCATGAGGCCAGTCAAGGTCTTAGTCCTAGCTGGCAAGTAACCCAGTCTGTGCACCGTCACTGCTCCCTCTAGGTACATTAGCAGACAGCTGGACTGGAAGTGGAGGCAGGTCTGATACTCGGCTCTGATACGGGATGCAGGTGTTCCAGTGGCAGCCCAGCCTATGGCACCACAATGTCTGCCCCTGAACTCCCATCTTTTTTTCTAATACTCAGATTACTTCTTTTTATTAAAGATTTATTTATTTTATTTGAAAGTCAGAGTTACACAGAAAAAGGAGAGGCAGAGATAGACAGAGAGAGACAGAGAGAGTGAGAGAGAGAGAGAGAGAGGTCTTTAATCCACTGATTCACTTCCCAGTTGGCTTCAATGTCCAGAACTGCACCGATCTGAAGAGAGGAGTCAGGAGCTTCTTCCAGGTCTCCCACGCAGGTGCAGGGGCCCAAGGACTTGGGCCATCTTCTACTGCTTTCCCAGGCCATAGTAGGGAGTTAGATTGGGGGTGGAGCTGCAGGATCTTGGAATGGTGCCCATATGGGTTGCCGCACTGCAGGCAGCAGCTTTACCCGCTATGGTGCAGCGGTGGCCCCTAAACTCCCATCTACATAGGTGTACTCCTGTATACTACAGAGTGGTAGCACCAGTCCAGGTGCATCAATCATTCCAGAATCAAATGTCACTAAGTCCCTGGGATTACACAGAAAAACTGCATTGGGTCCCCCACTCTGACAACTGACATAGGTCAGGCAAGAAATTCTGTGTTGTAGGAGGCAGGTCTGTAGGGTGTGTAGGAGAGCAGGGTCACACAGGTTCACTGCTAGAAAACCCAAGGCAACAGTCATAAAATGTTTGCAGAGTCTTGAGAGGTGGCTCTTCACTCCCGATGTCAAAAGTCTTCCTGAGGACCCCAGATTTCCATATAAAGGTTTCAGTGTAGCGCACAGACTGAGACATGTGCCCAGATTGCACTGGGCATTTCACAAACTTCAGTCTTGTTTTATTTCTTTTTTTGAAGCTAAACTTTTCCTGTCCACTGACTTGTCTTTGGCAATCCAACATAAAGCTGGACATCTTTGAAACACAGGAAGCCCCAGGCTTACCAGACCTCTAGGCTAGCAGGCTGATTCAGGTAAGCACCAGGAAGACACTTCCCCCACACCCTGGTGTGGGAGGGGCCTTGGATGAGAGTGTGCTGCAGATGGTGATCTCCATGTGCTGGTTCAGTGAATGCTGACGTCCATCAGCGACAAACATAAGGCAGAGCCCCACAGTTTCCATGCTGGGCGTCAGCCGGCTCTTGACAGACTTCTGTTAAATTTTCATGCACACTTTCAAAATCTCACTTTTTACTGCACTGTAGTGTTGTATAGCCTGGGGTGTGTTGCTTGTGGGACTGGTCATAGTGACAGGGGCCTGAGTGGGAAATGGAGATGACAACAGCAGGCCCAGAGGGAGAGTTGGGAAGAGCATGGAGCATAAAACGACCCTTCCCTGACCGGGAATCGAACCTGGGCCGCGGCGGTGAAAGCACCAAATCCTAGCCACTAAACCACCAGGGACACACAGCAAGCAGTGTCTGGTCTGTTTCCCTAGCAGCAGAAGCTGGGTTGGACACACACATAGGAGAATTAATCCATGTTACCACACCTGGGCCTAGTCCTGCCTTCAGGGAAGCCCTGGGAGGCCACCCCCTGCAGATTCCCGCCAAAGTGTGAACCACACTGGATGCACCAGGAGCCCCTTCCCTCAGGCAGCCAGGTGCCAGGCACTCTGGCATTTGAGATTGATGGACATGGTTACAGCTGCCACCCAGCCAGGTAGCTGCAGCTGCAGGACCTTGACCCTGGCCCTTTGCTTCCATCTGGCAGTCCCCTGCCCTGGCTCAGCAGATCCTTTTATGGGGACCTGGAGGGCTCATGAGTTTGGGTTTAACAATTCATATGCACAGAAAGAAGTAAATGAGAAACTTGGACAAATTTCAGAAGTAAAAAAAGCATTCAGATCCATGCCTAATTCCTCAATCTAACCCAGTACACATTTTTGATTCAATTACTATGAAAAGGAAGGAGAAAAGAAAAACCCCTTTCACATATAGCTTTGCTGTAGGCCATTGCTGAAAGTTCAGAGTTGCCCTCTATGCACTAAACGTCAACTAAGCACCTCAGATGCAACTTCCCCGAGGGATTTTGTCAGACTCGTGCGGTCTTGTGTCTGCCTTTCGGAATGCAACAGGCGCAGCAATGAACTAGGGCCTGGTGAGGTGAGGAGAGGGCCGCGAGGAGATGGCAGTGTCCTGCCCCATGAGACTTGCCCGGTCCTCTTTGCTGGGGCAGCATAGCTTCGTCTTGGTGGAATTGTTACCGAAGAAATTGCAGGGTTCTTGTCTTCGCACAAGAAAGAATTCAGGTGTGAGACAGAGAGTAGTGGGAGGTAAAATAGCAAGGTTTATTAGGGCAGGGACATCCGTAAGGACGGATGGGCACCTCTCCAGACAGAGCCTGAAGACTGGGGCGGGGGGTGGGGGGAGGAGCGAGGTTACATCTTGAGTAGAGAGATTACACCTGACCAGGCCAGGAGGGCAGCTCAGCAGAGAGGCAGAGGGCTGAGCGCAGTCCGGTTGAGGCTGGGGGTTTTTAAAGAGATGGGTCTTGCTTCCCCACCTCTGCTCCTCTTGGAACAAAGGGTTTTTCGATGTAAATAGAAAAACTTCTGAGTTTTCCCTTGAAGGTCTGAAACAAAGGACTTTATGGATGCAAATGTGATCAGACAGGAGGAAGGGAGCAGGGTGTTTGAGATGCAGATAGGCTGCACCTGGGAGATTGTGGAAGATTTGTCCAGCAGAAAGGGTGGGGACCCCCACTGGGCAGGTTATGAGGTGGAAGGGGGCAGGGCAGGGCTGGATGTGAATGCCGGGCTGCCCCTGAAACACCATGGGGATGACCTTGAGATGCAGTATATGCTAGACATAGATGTCTTCTCTTTAGGCCTTTATGTCACACACACATAAGCTCATAACTGACTTCCTGCCTAACAGAATTAGACTGAAAACCGTCTTTCTAGCACCAAGTGGGGCTAACACAAACGACAAAACGCGGTAAGCGTGGCTGATGGACAGTCTCCGGGACGCTTCGCTGGGTGCACACCTAAGGCTGCTTTGTGCTACTTCACCAAGGGCCTGAGGTCCCCAGGCGCGACCTCGAGGCCGGAAGTGGGCTGGGGGGAGGGGGAAGGGCGCGGCCCGCGGGGACCCTGAGGGGCTGTGCCCATGCAGATGAGGCCACGTGTGGTGGGGAGGCTGCTGCTCCAGCACCTGCCCCTGATCCACGCACGAGTCCCACGCTGTGGAAATCCTCCTGGCCTGTTGCGGGACACTCGCTGGGATCTGCGGATCTGCGCAAGGAGAGCCTGGGGAGGAGAGGAAGTCAGCGCATGTGAATAGAGCGAGTTGTGCGCAGCTGTGCTTGGGCAGAAGTTTCCGGAAGTCATACTTCAGCAGAAATCAGCTTGTGAAGAGCCCTGGCAGCTCTGCCAGACAAGAGTTGGATCTCCAGCTTCTGGAGAACCCGCACTCCCTGCGGCCCCGCACCCCTGCGCCTTACCGCGCCCTCGCACGTCCCCGAAGCAGCCTATGGAGCTCCTCCTCCGGACGCCCCTGGAGCTGCCGGGTGCCAGCCGCTCCCACAGGAGCCGCGCAGCCAGGGCCCCGCCACGGTCCCTGGGCCCGGGGCAGGCCTGGCAGAGGCTGAAGCGGAGGACTGAGCCGACGGAGGCGTGCGAGGACAGCCCAGTGCCACTGCCGGGGGGCGCGAGGGACATGGGTCTGCTCGCCTTGGTCCGCGCCGCTTACTTGAACTCCGTCACCAGGAGGAAGGACCGGGTGACAGCAAGGCCCGTCCTCGAGCCACAGGAACACACGCGCTCCTGGCGGGTTAGATGTGGAGTCGAGGAACGCCCCGGCGTCAGAGCCCTCGTGTTTGGGATTGTTCTGAGCGTGGGGAGGATGGGGACCGAGCTCCAGCCGAGATGGAAACACTCAGGGGCGGCAGGGTTTTGGGGACTGGCTCGTGGTGGTCTTTGGGGGAACTCAAGACCTTGCTTGAGAGAGATTCCCTCGGGCGTCTGTGTCCCTGCTTGCGTGTGCGTTGTCGTTGGAGCTCGTAGCGGCTCAACTCAGCTCCTTGTACCCTGGGAGCCTCTGGGTCTCCCTCCCGCCGGCCACCCCCGGGTGCCCAAGTGTCTGCGGACACCTCCCCTGAGGCCCACCATCTGTTCCCTAAGGCTGCGTGGTTTCTAAGTTCAGCTGAAAGCCAGGCTGCCTGCGGGGCGGGGCTCTTGGTGCACCCGGTGCGGTTCGCCCTTTGTTGAGAATCTGCAGGGGGCGGCCTCCCAGGATTTCCCTGAAGTAAGGACAAGGCGCAGCTTGAAACATGGATCTTCTTAGACGTACGTGTTTAAGGTAGCCGCTGCTGCTAGGGAAACACACCACAAAGGCCTTACTGTGTGTCCTTGGTGGTCTAGTGGCTAGGATTCGGCGCTTTCACCGCCGCGGCCCGGTTTCGATTCCCGGTCAGGGAAGGGTCCTTTTATGCTCCCATGTTCTTCGCAACTCTCCCTCTGGGCCTGCTGTTGTCATCTCCATTTCCCACTCAGGCCCCTGCCACTTGACAAGTCCCACAAGCAATATGCCCCAGGCTACACAACTAGGTGGCCTAAACTCTGTCACTACAGTGCAGTAAAAAGTGAGCTTTTGAA